AAAAAAAAAAAAAAAATTTAACATAATAAAATTCTTGACTAATAAAAGTGTATAAATGTGGCGTTTTAAAAGCAGGCAGGCTGGCAGGAGGTGGGGAGGGAGTGTGTGTGTGGATGCACAGTGCAGTGGAGAGGCTGGGGAAGCCGCCTTAACCCATGCTGCAGTGCTCCTGTTCTGCCGCTAGGAGTCCCATCCACTAAGGGGAAGACCAGTCATTGGCAGAGGAACTCCAGAGAAATCCCTGCTCTCCTCTGCATGTGCTGAGCTGCAGAGCTTCAGCCCAACACAAGACACAAAATATGTGCAGTGATGCAAAGAAAAAACCTCTGAAACCAAGGATTTAAAATATTTCACATTCACTTGCCTTACATAAAGGGAAGGGATTAACTCTTACCTGATGGTTACCGGGCAAATTTTACTTCAGCCACCAGTACACACTCAAAACCTGTCTGACCAGGAAATAACATGCTGTCCCCTGTGTTGCGATAGCAGCCATGTGGATTGCTAAAAGCACATGTTTAAAGGATGAGACAAGCCAACAAAACCCCTTCCTAGAAAGAATGTCTTCTATGGGTGAAAAAAAAGTGACATATTTTCCATATTATTGTTCCTCAGTTCAGCAGGTGATGTGAATTGGGGAAGTATTCTATAAAAAAAGGCAAATGTCATGAAATGTCAAGCTTCACTTGTTTGTTTTCCTACACAAAAACACTTAACATTAGTGAATATTTAATGCAATGAATAGATAGAAAACTTGAAGGTTCGTGTTAAAGTCCTAACAGTATTATGCAACTGCTCTTCAGAGAGAAAGAATGGATTTTAAAGTCTCAAGCAGTTTATGTGGAGCAGCTATACACTACACATCAACAAACACTTCACATATTATACTCCGGTTGCTTATTGTTCATTAAAATAAAGAATACCAAGCCTGTTCAATAACCTGTTGCAACAGGTGCCTGAGAGGTGGAGACAGGGAGTTGCACCACATACATGTATGTGCGTAAAGAAAGAAAGAAAATCACACCATTGCCTAACCTGGCCAGACCTGCACATCTGGTACAACCAGCTGTACAACCTCATCCCTGGCACTTTAAACGTTATGTTTGTAATAGGAAAGGAACGACAGACCTGTCCGACTGGTGGCTGCGAACTGGTTTCAGGGAGTGGCATGCAAGTTTACGCTAAGAAAGGGTATACACGAATAAATGTGGCTGATGTGGAAAATGTAGGTAACAGTTTTCCTGAAGCCTTCGAGGAGTGAAACAAGAATCCTCTCCAAAATACCTCTGTAAAACTGCTGGTTTAGACCATTGCCTAAACTCTTACAACTTCAACAGAATCACATGGATTACATTTGACCCATTACATTTGATGCAATAAAAATCTCTAAGAGAGGTTCTTTACTGCAGCTAAATGAGCTCTGCTAGTACAAACTTGAGGAATCATTTTGGCTACCAGGAGGGCAGAAAGGAAACCTCAACTACAAGATACTGGGGGTGCTAGAGAGGGAGGGGAGGGGGAAATCACAATTTCTATATGACCAATGAATGACGAAGCGATGAACAAGCGCATGACTCATCGGTGTGCACCGGTATTCCTCCGCATATTCTAGCAGATTCACTAACAAAATGTACATTAGTCATTCCTAAAGGCACCCTACCTTTGCGTCATGCGTTTCATTCCTTCCTATGGCGCAAATGGCATCAATTAAAACACCCCATTCATAAAAATAAAAAAAAAACGACGGTTTGGAGGCAAAATGCGTCACGGTGCAGATAAACATCTGGGTTGTTTAAAAAATTAAAAAATAAAAACAACAACACGCATTCAAATCATCCGGGTCGTCTGGTTTGGGGTGTTAGAAAGAAATGGGGGAAATGATCAACCTATCCCGACGCAAAGGGGGAGCGCTCGGCAAATTGCGCAGCAAGAGGCTCCAGACGCAGCAGTCTTCTCCAAACAGGAGACTGGAGAAGTGGGTCAAGCCATGGCAGGGCGATTCCTGGGAGACTAGTCCCCACCAAACCAAAAAACACGATTTGACTGGAAACACGCTCCTATTTGGCCAAGCCCGTTGACAAAGTGCATTATAGGGTGAAATCCAATTAAAGACATTTTAATCTTTTCTAAACATATGTAGGGGGGGACGGAATGGGACATGGCAATGTGACAAGAAATGATGATAAAGAATCCGACGACACAAGCAAAAGCGTAACAAAAACACCGCCTGAATGTATTAATATACAAAGTGGGCTCAAAGATCATCAACACAAGTGTGAAAATGTTGGACAAACTACCACAATGTGACATATTTCGAGAAGTCAAAAGCTATGAAAATGATATAGATGTAGGTCACGTTTTAATTGGGCATATGGGTTTGTCCTACATCATGCGGATGGGCTAATGTGGTTCAGTAGTGCGCTGGGTGAGAGCTCACCCACATAAAACAGATCTCTGAAAAGTGCGCATAGCCTGCGCAATTTGGCTCCTGGCTCACCAATGTGGGGCATCCCCCTACCCCTCCAAATGTGGGTGAAAACGCTGAATGGAGCCACTAGCAGCAGCAGCCCGAGCTTGTGTTTGACGCGAGAACAAACAAAAAAAACAAAAAGCCAATTGAGCTAATAAGGACCATTACCTTGTCAGTCAATCAGTTGCTTACCTGCGCTTGTTACGCAACCCCAACCTCCCCTTGAACTAAGCCACAAAAACGCACCAGAATGCAGCTCTTCTTTGTGCCAAAGTGAAGTTTGAGCTCAATCACCTCATTCTGGTGTTTGCACGTCGAGTCCACCTGCCTACTTCTGAGCTGCCCTCTTCGTGACCGTGATGTAAGGTGGCGTGAAAATTGATGTGACCCAACTCACCTGCCCATTTGCCCAGCTTCGGAGAGAGCAGCTGCCCGTTTCCCAAGACCCAGATCCTAAAGCCTGAGAGCAGCCTGTAGAGCAGCCACAGCGCCAGGGAGGCCACAGTTAATGCACCGACCCAGAAGAGAGGCGTCTCGGCCCTGCGCAGAGTCTCCTCAGCGTTCATCCAGTTCATGGCAGCGGCTCTCGGTGGCTCGGCGTGTGTGAGAGAGAATGTGTGTGTGGAGACCTCAATTTTAGGCAATGTGCTCTAATTTCCAAGCCACAACGTGAGAGAGAGTCCCTTTATAAGGAGGTTGTAGCATCACACACTCCCACAACTCCCCCAACACTTGTCTAGCCTGATTTAAAGTGCACCGCCCACCTCCTACTCCGCCCCGCCCTTCTCTGCCACTCACTGGATGCGGTCGCTGCCTCTCGCCTGATACACCCCGCCGGTTGGAGCATTTGCATGTCAATCAGCTGCAGAGCTTCTCCCATTCATTCGATTTTCTGTATGAAGCAGGGTGGGTCAAAGAGAGACCGGGATGAGGAGCGATTGGGCAAACATTACGGCAGCTTCCATCCGGAGCCCGTTATTGGCTCTCGCCAGAGCAGGTTTGACGGTTTCAGTCAGGATTATGAAACCCACCAAACCCACGCTTTCGGAAAAAAACTGCCCACACCACTTTATGAATGAAAGGATGCTCTCATTGGTGAGAAATGTGCGTGTCCTCCCGCCTCTTGGAGACAGTTTATTGGCTACAGGGATGCCAGTCTGTGAGGTCAGCCTGCTCCCACTTAGACATGAGTCACTCGTCTATTTTAGGTATTCTGTCTGCATCATACTGCTGATAACCACAAAAAAAATGTGGAGACAGGTGCAGCGAGGAATCTTAGCGCACAGATTCATCCATATTGCGCCAAATAACTGTTCCACACCCTGCATCTGCCGCAACAGGCGCGCATAGAAGCTCCCCAAAATTAAAACTACAATCCCCAGCCCAAGTTTCGCTTTTCAGACTCTCGCGAGATTATCCCCATCGTAAAGTTCCTCTTCCCAAACATTGAGGGGATGTGATGTATGCGTTACATAAACACTGGCATGTGAATTTCTATCGCTTCATTTAACTGTTTTTTTTCCCAACATGCACATGCACACGAATAAACCAGTGCAAGCAGACGCTGGATGTTTCAGCACAAGCGGCTGTTACGGTTCTCTCCTCAGCAGAATGTATGTGCTCTCTGCTTCCCACTCCGACCCAGGAAGGCTATTGGTATTTTTTACTCCAACAACCCCCCCACAAGCCCTCCCGCCGCCATGCTCCCTGTCTCTCTCTCACACACACCCAAACTAAACATGAAATTTTGACAAACTGAGGCTCCGTGGCACAAAGCAAACCCTGTCATGTACTCAGCAGAAGAACAAGAGTATGAAAATGTGACTACATGCTGACAGTCAACATGCAGCTGCTCGTATTCTGTGACACAAGTGGAGGGACCGAAGTCAACGTGACTCCGAGAGGAAGGAGCAGCAAGTTGTGTAACAATTTCAAACAGGGTGGAATTAAATGTATTTTTGAGCAAATTATAGTTACAATGTGCAGGGTAAAATATATTTTCAAAGTCTTTCACAAAATAATCTTCACAACAATTAATTTTACAGCACCAATTTTATATTCTGGCATCATTGCACAGTCAATAATTTCATATCAGATATTCAGATATTTCATTTATCAACGTACAGCCTCTAATATCATCTATATATTTGCTAAATTTTTTTATATTAAAAACAGTACACACAAGATTTAAGTGGAGTGTAACACAGGCATTAAAATGACATTATGTTTGTAAGAGACCAGCCTCAAATTGTGCTTTAACTGATAACATTAAATATGATCAAATATCATACATGAGACACACACACACTCATATTGGACGTTTGGAAAGTCCACATTCACGTCTTGGTAGAGTCCTCAGCAGCCCAAAAGCTGAAAACAAGAGAGAAAATAAGGATTTAGTCGTGCAAAAATCACTGTGAAAGTCTCTACATGCATCTGTGTAATCTGCAAGATTTCAAACACACAGAAAATGTGCACAAACATATAAGAATATCAGCGTGTCCACCGCCTCTTAACACGCTTTTTTGGGGTGATTTTTAAATTTTGAATACACACAGGCTACAAAAAAATACATCTGTATATTTTTTCCAGCTTGTGCCACTACGATGCTACAAACCACAGCCTCTACTGTTTTCTACTTTCAAGTTTTTGTTTGGTAGCTTACACACGAAAAGTGTATTTACTCCTCCCAGTATCGATAGCCCTGAACACACACTCTCACACTCTCACACACACACACACACACACGCCACCTCCCCTAAATCCTGCAACACAAAGCCTTACTCACATTTGAGTTTCTGCACCCTGCTCTCAACACACACACACACACACACACACACCCTTTCTCTCACTTTATCAGAGTTAACACTGACCCTATTTTCCCTACACACACCCTAATCCGACCGTGTCTTTTGAACCTCAGTGAGTCCAAATTTTATCTTGTATTTCCTAAATTTTACTCATCAAGAAACACAAGTTTTTAATCTGAGCAAAAATATCTATAATTTAAAGACATAAAAAGAGTCACACCAGGGCAGCGTTTAGGACTAATATCCTCTGTGCTGAGAATTCCTCAAACTGATAAAATAATAATACAAAATAAAT